TATTTTATTACTAAATAACCTATTCTAAGCCGTTTATGACTAAATAATATAATTATATTATTTAGTCATAAACGGCTGCTTTATTATTAAAAATTTCTAGCGATAAAGGATTATGGCTACTTACTAGATTCATATTATAAGAATTAAAATAAATAAAATAATTTAAAGACTTTATAATAAATTTAATAAACTAGATTTAATAATTCAAATAAATTAATATTAGTAATGATAGTAGTATAGCTAAGGTTATTAGATGAAACTTAAAGGTTTTGTAAGTCATCTAAATAGAAAAGATAAAATTTAGCTAAATTATATTAAAATCTTATTAAAAAATCTGCAAAATTCTGGAAAAGGTAAAACTATATCAAAGCTTATAAAAATGTGAAATTATATCAAAACCTTAGTAAAAATTTAGAGAAACTATAGTTTAAACATTTTACCAAATCTAAAATAAGTTTAGATAAGCAATCTTAAGCATAATTGTTTATTTAATCATATCTTTTGAGAATCTTATAAAGAAAATATCATTAGGATTATCAAAATAAGAATAAAATCCATAATAATTGATGAAGTCATTAATAATTTTTTAATACAGTTGCATTTGAAACAAAAGATCTATTAGATTGATGATATATTTATATAAAAACTTTTCAAACTTAATACAGATTATCTATAAATATCTTGGATCTTAGCTATATCTATTTTAAGTAAAAGATTATTTTTTCATATTATTCTTTAATTTAGTAAAAAGAAATCATTTGAAATACAAGTTTATTTTATTAGATGATTTTAAAGAAAAACATTTGTTTTATAGAAGTTTTTGCAAAAGAGTGGAGAATGTTAATTATACTAAATATTAAATACCGTATAGTCCCGAAAATAGCATTCCGCGACATGCTCCTTTTATAGTAATTTATTTATTTGTCACATGGAATTTATTATATTATTAGTCACGTATATACTGATAAATTTATATATATCACGTGGTGCTTATTTTCGGAATTATACGGTACTTAATTGATGACAATTTTTCTTTTAAAATTTTATCGGATGATCCGTTAAAATTCGGATTAGGATATACCCTAAATTAATAACAAATTAGGATAATTGATTAATCCTAAATTAAGGATCCGTAATCATCTCCGGATTACAATCCGGACTGGTTAAAGAGATTAGGATTGGCTCTTTAGAAATAGGATCACTTGAATATTGCATAATTTTTAAACTTTAAAAAAATACGAATATTAAAAGTTTACTTTTTGTTCGTTGTATTATATAATAAACCGAATTCCAAATTTATAGTTATTTAATTAGAATTAAAAAAATTTTTGAATTACTGGCTTTTGTTATTAATTAAAAAAACAAATTTGGGATAATATAAATAATTTTCATGAACCAATAAAATATAAAGATAGTGTCTCACCTGAAATTTCAATAAAATGTATTAAAAAGATATAAATTACGATATTGTTTGACCTTTTTCGCATAGTATTTTCTTTTTTTTATTAATATTTGAGAAACTAAAATATTAAAGAAAAAATTTGAATCCTTTGACCTTATCCTGAAACATCAACGAACATTACTTATTCTTTTAACCTTTCCTTTAAAAATACAAAATGTCTGAATTCGCTGAGAGGATAGCCGCAGCTCGCAAAGAAGCAGAAACTTTAAAAGAAAAAATTAAGATGAGAAAAGATACATTGGCTGACACATCCCGTATGTACTTATAGATTGATTAAAGTTTGTTATTTATAGTTGAGCTATTTTAAGTCTTATTCAAAGATAATTTGTTTATTTGAGTACTTTATATATATACGAAGAGGAATATTTTTAATGAAATCTGTCGAAAAAAGTTTGTAAGAAGTGAAAATGCGAATAAACATAAGATTTATTTATTAGATTTAAAGAATAACTTAGAAGTAATTGATAATTGTTGAAACAAATTAAAATTGCGGATTTTAATTATCTTAGTTTAGCTTTAGTTTTAACAAATTTCTATCAAAAAGAAAAAATTTATCTCATGAATTATTATTTTTTACAGTGAGAACAATGGCCGCTGAAATTGATCCTTTACCAAGAATTGTAATGAAAGTTCGTCGTACTCTCAAAGGGCATCTTGCGAAAATCTATGCAATGCATTGGGCTTCGGATAAACGGCATTTAGTATCCGCTTCACAAGACGGTAAACTCATCGTCTGGGATGCTCCTACAACGAATAAAGTTCACGCAATCCCTCTTAGATCCTCATGGGTTATGACATGTGCCTATGCACCATCCGGCGCTTTTGTCGCTTGTGGTGGTTTGGACAATATTTGTTCTATCTATAACCTAAAGACAAAAGAAGGTTCCGTTAAAGTTGCTCGAGAATTAAGCGCTCACACTGGCTACCTATCTTGCTGTCGGTTTCTTAATGACAGGCAAATTTTAACATCATCAGGGGATATGTCTTGTATTCTTTGGGATATCGATGCTGGAATGAAACTTTTAGAATTCAATGATCATTCTGGTGACGTAATGAGGTATTTCCAAACTCGCACGCCTATTTTATAATCTAAGAATCAATGAATGTTAAATATTGAATTTATTTTAGTTTATCTCTTGCACCTAATCAGCAAATTTTTGTATCTGGAGCCTGTGATGCTGCAGCTAAAGTTTGGGATATCCGAACTGGTCGCTGTGTACAAACATTTACTGGTCATGAGTCAGATATTAACGCTGTACAGTAAGTAATCGAGATTTTTTAAATAATTTAATTATTATTTTTTTAAAAAAAGTTTTAAAAATTTTTTTTCTTTCATTTCTTAGGTTCTTCCCTAATGGCGATGCGTTTGGAACTGGCTCTGATGATGCTTCTTGTCGATTGTTTGATTTACGTGCTGACAGAGAATTAAATCAATATACACATGATAATATTCTTTGTGGTATCACTTCTGTTGCCTTTTCGATTTCTGGTCGTCTTCTTTTTGCAGGTTACGATGATTTCAATTGCAATGTTTGGGACACATTGAAAGGTGAACGTGTAGGAGTTTTAGCAGCACACGAAAATCGTGTTAGTTGTTTAGGTGTATCAAGTGATGGTATGGCTTTGTGTACGGGTAGTTGGGATTCATTATTAAAGGTAAATTACAATATATTATTATTTTTTATTTTTATTTTATTGATGTTTATAATAAATATTTCATTAAATAAATAGGTTTGGGCTTAGGGCAATAGTTTTACATATAACATAATCTATTTTCATTGGATCGAATATTGATTGATTAATTTGCCTTATGAAAAATTTCTCGAAAAAGATAGCACATACCTTTATATAACTTAATTCTTAAAGCATAATTGTATTAACTCCTATATTATCCATTGATTTATTTATGGTCTTATTTGCTTACTCTATTTATGCCTTTTTAGTTAATCTTTTAAATGTTTTAGTATGTACAGACTTTTTAAATTTTTTTTCTTCTTTGTAACACCAATTTAGTATCAGTGTTTTTTTTAGTCTAAATTATAATTCACGTTTCATATCTTTACATCTTATATTAATATATATATATATTTTTTTTTTTATTTTAAACAATTTTTATTCCTAGATGTATTTTGGTCAGCAGCATTCAAATTTTTGTTCTTTACAATTAAGTTAATATCTTTATCTTTATATATTTTGAAATGAATCCAAAAGAAAAAAGAAAATTTTTGTTATAAGCTTTGTTATTATAACTTCTTTATATTGCTCTTTTATTTTTAATAATCCGATTATGGTATTCAATTTGTTATTAGAGTATTTAACTATTTGTTCGATTATACATATACATAAAATTCAATTTTATTTAAATTACCAAAATTATTTTATATTATTTATTATTTATTACATATTAAAAATTATTTATTATAATAATAATTATTTGATATTTTGAAAATTTAAAACTATTTTAACTATTTAACTATTTGAAAATCATCGAAATTGTTAGCTAATTAGATTTCATTTAGTAAGATTTTGTTTGAATTAAGAATGCTGATTTTAAATTCATTCTTATAATAGTGACGCGACGTATTTAGTATCGTTACCTATTAAATTTTTTTTGATTCTTAATTAAAAATTTCTGAAAAAAAAAATAAATTATGATTATTCTTTTAAAATTTATACTTCTTTGTTTCCTAAGAATTAATCATCCCGCGAATTTGCGTAACCTGTCAGACTTTTGATTACTTATAGATGTATTTACAACAAAATTATTTCCAAATCACCAAGTGTCTTAATAATAACCTTTGATTCATTCTTATCGTTGTAAGAAGAAATATTTTAAATATTATATGTTTCTTTTTACTCTTTTTTACCCTTTTGTTTCTGCTTAGTATTATTATTATTAGCATTAATATTAATCTTATCCCATGTCTTGTCTACATCAGTTTGTATCCCAACTTCATATTTGTGAACGAAACAATTCGGGTTGACAAATTTCTCCGTATATTCGTTATACACCTCGTTGAATATTATTTGTTTATCTTTGATAAGAGATTGATATAATTTAACGAGGATCTTCAACTGCGTCAAAAAAAAAAAGAAAAGAAAATTTAAAATTAGATAGAACGGAGTAAATAAACAAAAATCCCATTATTATTTATTACCTGAACTCCAATGGTGATTGCCGCAAACGAAAGATAAAAAAAGTTTTCTCCATTCAAATAATGAAGAATCAAAACTTGAGCCGGTGAATAGTAACTAAACAAAAGAGAAACGAGTTTGATTTAGATGAATAGAATTATTCAATTAATAATCACGAAATAAGTTCATCATTACCAAAAAAGGTCCAAACAAAAACTAGAAGGACTCCACATCGTTATCACCCAAACACATTCACTGTTAGGATCAAATCCGGGATGTTCAAAGATAGCTTGTAACAATGGATAACTAAAATTACAATTTTTTTTTTTTTTTTTAAAGAATAAAATAAAAGGTCCCCATTTATTTAAACACGAAAATTGAATAACTTACAAAAAATTACCGGGAAAACTTTCAGCCCATACTGGAACAGGTTCACCCACTTCTTGCATTTGAACATTATTACTTTTCGGTCGATCCTGCATGCAAGAAAAATATTAGCTTAATAGTATGTAGGAATTTATTAATAATTTATCTTTTCTATTCATGCGTATTTTATAAATATTCATAACAAATTTCTTCATTTTCAAGCATCATAAATCATAAATGAAAAACAATGAAATAAAATTACACTGAGGTGATGTTCGAAGAGATGATAATTTTTTGTGGAGTAATAAATATAAATAGCATTGGCCGTGCTTAACGAGAACAGAAACCATTCAGCAGTAGTAAGCTATAATTTAGTTCGAATTATTAATCAATAGTATTCACATAAGTCAATTTAGTTTAGGAAAAAATTACATACCCAAATTTCTAAAGAACTATGAACTGGGTTAAGTATGGGATCATATTCTTGTCCATCAAACCAATGACCAATTCGTAATACAATAGATAGGCAATTCAATACGATGGCTACAAACCAGCTAATAAAGTACATCAACCAATTAATCGCGTAAATATATTAAAGTAAATAATCAAAGTTAAAACCATACCTAGAAGCTTGACTCCATTCATCCCAATCTTTCATATTAATGTCTTCCTCAAGTTGAATAATACGATCCAATGGCCAACTTTTAATTCGTTCCCATATTGTAGGTGTTCGAATTATTCTTGTTCCTGAATGCTCAGGCATTATAAATTTAAAAGTTAATATAAAATGATAAAAAGATTTTACGAATAGTTAGTATGTGGTTCCAAACTCTATGAAATTATTATTAAAGTTTTAATCAAAGTAAGGTCAACGAAAAAAAAAATAAAATAAAGATTCTGAAACAAAAAATTTTAAGAGCTAATGGCTAAAAAAGTATTGAAAAATTTGAAAGTTAATTAAAAGATAAAAATAAAGTTAAAAGAAAATGACTTTAGTCAACAAAAAACAACAGATTATAATCAATTTATACCTTAAAAAAAAAGTTGCTG